TGTCTTAAATTTTCAGTATTTATTATTTATGCTTAATTAGATTAAAACAATTTTTTTTTTTTTATGACCTTCCGATTTTTATGGCTATTTCAATGTAAAAAATGTTAAAAATAGCCAGAACGTTAAATAACACACAGATTATTCAATATTAACTCAATCGCCTTAAAATTCAAGGGTTGACCTTATTATAACTTAAAGTTAACATTTAAAAAATAATAATAATAATTTATGTGAAATATCAAAATTAAATAACATTCTAAAAATGGTGCTTTTTTTGAGAAAATTGGCGTTTTTGAGCTCACCTAAAACTATTAAGAAGTTATTATTTTGTGATTTTCAAATGTGGTATTGTATAGTATATAATCTATGTTTCAACTAAATTTCAAATATTTAAAACAATTTTCTTGTTAATGGTTAACTTCTTAATGGTTTTAGGTGAGCTCAATAACGCCAATTTTCACAAAAAAAGCATCATTTTTAGAAAGTCATTTAAGTTTGAAATTTCACATAAATTATTATTATTATTTTTTAAATGTTAACTTTAAGTTATAATAAGGTCAATCCTAAAATTTTAAGGCGATTGAGTTAATATTGAATAATCTGTGTGTTTTTTAACGTTCTGGCTATTTTTAACATTTTAGCTTCGATACGAAGCTGAGAGGGTATTGGTTTTACTAAGGTGTATTTTTTTTTTTTTTTTTTAAATTAAACAGTATCTAAAGATTTGCATCGAAGCGTTTTTTTTTTATAGTGATTTTAATCACTGTCAGATATCATTATACTTGATCCATCTATACCACGTCACTACTGTGCCGGGTTTTTTTTACATTGAAATAGCCATAAAAATCGGAAGGTCATAAAAAAAAAAAATTGTTTTAATCTAATTAAGCATAAATAATAAACCCTGAAAATTTAAGAAAAATATGAGGTTGTCGTGCAACCACTTCTGGATGATTTGGCATGGATTGTGACCCTATTATGTGAATAATTGAGTGTGTATGATAATTATTTCACTTTTTATACAACAATGATTGTTTTTAATATTTTATTTATTTGTATATATTTGATTTTGTTATATTACATAATTTTTTTTTGTCTAAATAAATTGTAATTTAAAATGTTTATGTTAGTAATTAATTTTATAGGCAAATAATGTTAACAAAAATTATTTTAACTGTTGTGACTTACCTCTGGATATAAAATATGGAAATGAGTTAAGCCTTAAAAGGTATAACTTCATTGGTTATAAAAATGTTGAGCAAATTAAATTACCTTTGATGTTCGACGCTAGATTGAAGTGGCCTCATTGTTTATCCATCAGCAAAGTTAAAAACCAAGGAGAATGTAAAAGTGGCTGGGCAAGTATTTTAGATTCAATGCGAAGCTGAGAAGGTATTAATTTTACCATGATGTGTTTATTTATTTTTTTTTTTTTATGTCCGTTACCACTTTTTCTCAGCTCTCACCGAACCGATTTTTTTCAACGATACGTCAAAAGATCATAAATCGTATTTAGTCGAAGACATTACCTTCAAAAATTGAAAAAATTTCCCTCGTTCCCCGTAAATGAGGGAAATCTCCAAAAAAATTACAAATTTAAAAATCACTAATTTTCGAAATTTTCGAAAATTTTTTTACTTAAAAGTGCCATAACTTTTTCAAAAATGAACATATTAATATAATTTTTTCTTTATAGATGATTGATGTCTTTTTCTATCATTTGGTATATTTTTTTATAAATTTAATCCTTTACCAGCTCACAGGGGGGATTCAAAATGACAACTTTTTCACAAAAAATTAACTTTTGAAAGTGTTCCAGAAATACTGACACTTTTTATATATAACTTAAATTAAAGCAAATGTAATATACTTTATTATAGAAAAAAAAATTTCAGACTTTATTTTGTCTTCATGGTGAAAATGGCTACCGTATGCTATTTTTGTGTTAAATTTCTCGATTTTATATTTTACATTTTTAATTTTAAAATTTTAAAACTTTTTGAAAAATGTATGGATCAATACAATTTTTTTAAAAGAAATAATATTTATATATTTCTTTCATTCGACATGCTTTTTTTTTTTAAACGGACCTTTTCCCTTAATACAGGAGGGGTTCAAAACATAAAAATGTATATAGAAAGTAGAACTTTTTCAACTTAACTTTTGAAAATGTTCCGGAAATACTGACTTTTATATATATATCTTAAATTAAAGCTTATGTAATATACTTTAATATTAAAAAAAAAAAAAATTTCGGACTTTATTTTGTTTTTATGGTGAAAATAGCTAAAAATATGCTATTGTTGTGTTGAAATTCTTGGTTTTGTATTTTATTTTATTATAAGGGGATTACACTGATTTTCATAAATATCGCCTTGATTTATTAATTTTGGGCGTATTGCGAGCTATAACAAAAACTCATGACACCATCAGCCATGCACGTAAATCCACGCAGCAAGTACGTAAACGAAAAAAAATATTGTATGTTTTACGAGGTGAAAAAGTTTGTGAAGCAATGTTTTTATTCGCTTATGGTATCGGTCAACAAGGATCTCGATGGAAACGCCTGTTGAAATTATTCACTAAAAAAGGTATCCTTACGAAAAGTCATGGTAATTCAAAACGCGTACCAAAGCATAGCTTGAGTTTAGAAATCCGTAGAAATGTTATTACATTCATCCGAAATTATGCGGAAGAAGTCGCCTTATTTTTGCCTGGCCGATAAGCCAGTCAAAGGCAAATTGTAAAATTACTTCCTTGCAATGAGACAAAAAAACATATATTTCAACGTTACGAAGAAGCGTGTAAAAATTCTAACGGGATTCCAGTAAAATTGACGACCTTCAAACTTGTGTGGAATGATTTCTGTTCCGATATTGTGATACAGCGCCCACGAACCGATTTATGCGCTGAATGTCAGGCATTGTATATTTCTCATAAAAAATTAAGAGGGAAAACTGAAGTCGAAAAGGCAAAGTTTTTCGAACAGTGCCAAGCTCACTTAAAACGAGTCGATGTCGAACGGCGCCATTATTTTGATGTTATTAAAAATACTCGTTATCAACTCCTAGATGGTAAAAAAGAAACTATTCTTAAAAATGCTGAATCTGGTCTTCATTATACGTTCGAAGGGATAATTCACTACAGTTTTGATTTCGCTCAACAAATACACGTCCCTACTTTACCACAGCAACCAGGACCATTATACTTTTTAACGCCATATAAAATTGGACTGTTTGGCGTTATGAACGATACTCTCAACCATCAGGGTATTTATCTGATTCCTGAGAGCGTAGAATCGGGTAAGGGAGCTAATTCCGTCATTAGTTATTTACATGATTTTATAGAACGTGATAGCTGTGGTGAAACTGAACTCAGTTTGCACGCGGACAACTGTTGCGCTCAGAACAAAAATCATTCAATGATTTACTATTTATTATTTCGAGTTCTAATTGGCTTGAACCACAAAATCACGTTGAACTTCTTACCTGTTGGCCATACCAAATTTTCAGTCGATTGGGCTTTTGGGCTAATAAAAAAACGTCTGCGCGTAGAAGAAACCCATGATCTTAATGATGTTTCCCGGGTAATTCAACAATCAACTTTAGAGTCAGGAGTTAACATACCAATAGTCACTGGCACTGAAGATGGAAGATTATTAATCAATGTATTCGATTGGAATACTTTTTTTGTGAAAAAAAATTGGAAAAGAGTTCCAAAAATTAGAAAGTATTATCACTTTACTTTCGATAAAAAATACCCAGGCACAGTTCTGTGCCAAACATCGCTCGATGATGTAGGAATACGAATTCAAATTGTCAGCATTTCACCAGGGAAAAAATTTTTATTTCGAAGTTGGCCAAAAGAAATTTTTCCTCAAGGAATTTCACCTGTACGGTATAAATATTTAAAAGATAATATTGTGAAATATTGTCACCCCAAGTCTGCTTTGGCAATGTCTTTTGTGTAAAAAATTGTTTTCATTATAATAAAATTAAATCATGTATTTCAGTATCTTTCTATACATATGATCATCTTTCATAGGCAAATAACTTTTTTGGATGTCAAGATATAGACCTGAAACCAACGCCATTGTATTTATTGTAAAATTTTACTTCTAATAGCATCAATTTTTCATCTATCAGCAAAAATCTTAAAAGTAAAAAACAAATTTTAATACTTTCAACGTTTTTTGCGTTTTTCTCGGAAAGTTGTTTTTGGTTTTCCTTAACTTTAAAGTGTTATAACTTCATGAGTTGTACTCGGATTGACTTGCGGTCTGCGCCATTAGATTCCTCGTATTATTTTCTATACAAATCTATAAAAATCTCATTTTTGACCTCTTTCACCCTAAGGGTCGGTTTCTCACGTCGCGTCACATATTATTTTACTATGTGGTTTTTTTTTTGTAGCTATCATTTATTTTCTCAGCTCTCATTTGACCTACTTTATTGACAAATTTTTTTTTTTTAAATTAAACACTATCTACAGATTTGCATCGAAGCGTTTGTTACGACTGTGGACTGTATTTTAATTTTTACGAGAATAATATTACTTAGGTCGCTTAACTATGAATTAATAAAACGAACTTTTCTATGTGTGAATAGTGAGGCATTTATTAGGAGACTGGTTTTTCTCCGCTGAGTAAAACCGATCGTTCGCTTATCACAATGATAATAATAATAAAAAAAAAAATCATAATAATACTCATACAATAGAGCATGCCGCAACATACCGCCGGCCTTGAAGAATTGTCTTCAAAACGATAAACAAGTATAAAACATAGGTAGTAGTTAACAGTATTATACAAAAATATATAGATAAACATAGATATAGAAAATAAAAATATAAAAAACAATAAAATAACAAACTAAAAACAATAAATAACACATTATATCCCATAAACTACAAATATCTAAACCAAATAATTACAAAAATCAACTAAATATAAATTTATAAAAAAAAAAAAATTTTTTTTACAAATGAATATAAATGGCAAATTAATTTTCTTCGATTGACAAAGGACACAAAAACCTAACTCCTCGGCGAAAAGAGCCATTCATGGTTTTGACGTCGGCAACTCGAATGACACCGTCATTTCCAGTTACTACATTTACGACACGACCAAGTCGCCACTTTAAAGACGGAATATTATCGTCCTTGAGAAGCACAATGGTGCTTACTTTTATCTTAGGTCCTTTCTCACCAACCCATTTCGTTCTCTCCTGCAACTGCGTTAAATACTCCCGACTCCAGCGCTTCCATAAATTTTGAGAATATTGAGAAACACGCGTCCAACGTGTTAACCGGTTACTTGATATGTTCGTTTGATCCGGTTCAGGTAAAGCAGTTAAAGAATTACCAATAAGAAAATGACCAGGAGTGAGAGGAGACAAGGCGCTTGGATCAGAGGATAGAATCGTTAATGGGCGACTATTTAAGCATGCTTCCGCCCTGGTAATTACAGTAAGAAGCTCCTCATAAAATAAATGGGCATCTCCCAAAACCCTACGTAATAAATATTTCATCGATTTTACTCCAGCTTCCCACAGACCCCCAAAATGCGGTGAGCGCGCAGGAATAAACTTCCACTCCACTTCGTTTTCAGACAACATATTATTAATTTTACTTTGATGTTCTTCAGTTTGAGATAATTCATACCATTCTTTAAGTTGACGATTTGACCCGATAAAATTTGAGGCGTTATCAGAGTACAAAGTTTTACTTTTTCCGCGTCTATCAAAAAACCGATTTAAAGCACGTAAGAAAGCATCGGTACTTAAATCACTGACCAACTCAAAATGCACCGCATGTGTCGCAAAACAAATAATTATACACACATAGGCTTTAGTAACCGGTGAATTTTTCCTCAATCCTGTTTTTAACAAAAATGGACCACAGAAATCTATACCTGTGGCTAAAAAAGCTCGACCCGGAGACAGGCGGTCCCTTGGTAGATCTCCCATGATCGGTTGCACCACTTGAGGCTTGTGACGAAAACAAACAACGGTAAATCGTGCGAGGTTTCGACCGTTAATAGGCCAATAATTTAATCGAACCGACGCTAATAACGCTTGTGAGCCATTATGCATTAACTTGATGTGTTCCTCTCTAAATAACAATATGGTAAACGAACAATGTGACGGTAATACCATAGGATTCCGTTGAAACACTGAAATATCGTCTACGTTTTTTAAACGCCCGCCCACGCGTAGCAAATTGTTTTTATCCAAAAATGGTTTAAGACGATATAATTTACTTACCTTTGAGATCTCCTTTCCTTTTTTCAATTGCATTATTTCGCTTAGAAATGATCGACCTTGAACCAACTTAACTAAACATAACCTCGCTGCGTTTCTTTCTATCGCACTTACAAAGCCATTTCGCTTAGAAGTATGAAATATATTTTTCTTTTTGTAAAAATTATCTAATGCGTTATTTTTAAATCTTAAACAATAAGCCACAACGCGCAATAATTTATTGAACGAGGAGAACTTTGATAGTAACTGAAACTCTTCGTCGGTGGAACACACAGCACTTATAGAAGATTTAAATTCCGGCATTTCTTCTAATTTACTGCCAATCTCTTATTTTGGTGTATTTGGCCGAAAATAGTTGGAGAGATTGCCAAACGTATACTCAATTGGGCAGGCAATGCTTGGCACAAACAGGGTACTTTAGTTAAACGGGTGATTGAAGAAGACCCTATGGGAAAAAGACCGTTAGGTAGACCTAAGCTGAGATAGGAAGATGGTGTGAAGAAAGAAATATAAAGGGTGGAGCCTGGCAGCTAATGGAGAGAAGCAGAGGAGGACAGAGATAGGTGACAGAGTTTATCGTTGGCAGTATGTTCTTTAAAGCCGAAACTAAGAAAGAAAAAAGAAGTAATATACTTTATTTTCAAAAAAAAAATTAACTTCTCGAATTGTATTCACTGTAAAAAATGGTCACCGTATTCAAAAATATGATATTTTTGTGTTAAAATTCTAAGTTTTTTATTTTATTTTAAAATACTTTACAAGGGGAGTACACAGAGTTTCATAAATATTGTATAAATATATTTGGCATAGCATATAAAGTTAAATTGTTTTGCTACTTTTAAGTAGAGAAAAAAAACTTTAAAATTTTAATTAGCTCAAATTATCATTTTTTTTCGATGGTTGAATGCGACATACGGTTGCCAAGTCGGTAACACTTATGTCTTTAACGCTTGGGTACGAGGTACAAACCCACTCATGCGGGTGAATTTTTTCTTAATTATTTTTGAGTAAGAAAAAGTTAGTTTGATTTTTATCTGATTAAAATTCAATAACAACAATTAATATTAAGGATTTTATCACTGTAGTCTCCACTCGTGATAAGAAATTTCTCATTAATTTTTAAATTATTTTACTATATGGTTTTTTTTGTGACTATCAGTTATTTTCTCAGCTCTCACTTAACGTTCTTTTGAGTTAAAAATGCATACAACTATTGAGCATTTCTGATTTATTTACTGCTAATAGTAATTACAAAATTTCCTGCAATATGCAATCTTAAAACTGTCTATTTGATGATGTCAATTTCAAAATTGCAAGTTGATCTAAAAGTTATGGTCACAAATTCAACTTTTTTTAACACCCTTATATTAGTTTCACTTGTATGTGTGATGTGAGTTTGTAACTTTCTCCGCGGCATGTGTTATTATTCTCGCGTATCCCATCGTCTATGAACTTGAGACTAGACGTAACGCATTCACCCCACCCCGCTCACTACTTACCAGTAACACTAATCCTGTATAATTTTATATTTTTGGTTTTCGTACCCGTACACGCGGCGTATCATTAATTATATATATATAAACAAATTTTTATTTTGACTGACCAATACCGCCGGCTTGTAATGCGCCTTACGTATATATATTTATATATTCCTGCAACCGCCGTATATGCCTCGAATATAACGTTCCACCGCTCCCCGCCCGCCATCAAAACACAGCTATACCTCGTGCATTATACGTTTACGTACTTAAGTCGCTTTTGATGTATATATATATATATTCTAATTACTATTAACAGTATATATTAACACGCTTTATTCTCATTAAGAGATATAGAGTGTATTTATTCCGACTAGAAAGGATGAACCGTATAGTCATTTTTCGTCACTACCTCCATGTTCCGGGAGTGGGTAATTTACGCGCCTGCTGCTTTCTTTGGATGTTGTAGCCGTTTCTCAGACTCCCTCCCCGGAATCGAACCCTGATTTCCCGTTACCCATTACAGCCATGATATTGATAGTAACTACTATCATAACATGGAACTAAAAAGTGAAAAATAAATATAGTTTAAAAAAACACGCTTTTAAAGCACATTGAACTAAAAAGTTAAAAATAATTTTTAAAATAAGCTTAAAACAATAATGAACGAAAAATTCTAGTATTATTGTGATAAAAGCGTGGGTGCTTGGTGTCATATTTTTCGTATATTGAGCGCCCGACGCTTTTATCACAATAATACTAGAATTTTTCGTTCATTATTGTTTTAAGCTTATTTTTAACTTTTTAGTTCGATATGCTTTAAAAACGTGTTTTTTTTTAGTTTTTTTAACTATATTTATTGCTATAAACTTTCATAAAAATCAATTTTAAAGGATTAAAACAATAGTATAAATATGTCATTTTAATTATTTTTAACATACTAAAAATCAAAATCAGTAATAATTTGAAAACAATTTTTTATTAATTAGTAATAATATAATACATTTTAAGCGATAGAAAAAGTCTAATATCAGATTTGAAAACAGCGCGAAACGTTTATTTTTGATTCTGATGAATGTGTATGTCTAGTGTAAGTAACATCTGTTACTTATACGTAACAAAAATTTTTTACTGATAATTATTACATCTAACCCTTTAAAGTTTTATACACGTTAAAAGTAGAGGAATATACAAATATATTATTATTTTTTTAACTCTGTATAAATTACAATATTAATTAATTAAATATTATTGTCATACTAAATTTTATTACTATAATTAGTATTTTTTCATGTATAATATTTTTAAATCAAAGAACTACTAATCATGATATAATTAAGGAAATAGGATCTAATTTGTTTTTTGAAATAATTAACCATTTCATAAAATTAAACACTATCTGCAGATTTGTATCGAAGCGTTTCTTATGATAGTGATTTTAATCACTGTCAGATATCATCAATACTTGGCCCATCAATGTCTCGTCCACACTGTGCTACCGTTTCTTTTTTACTTACTTTAAAAATATACTTAATTTACATCACATATCTTATCAAATACTTAATATACCTAACTGGGCGATTGGTTATATGTGGTTTGTAATACTGCTCCTCTTATATTGTGTTCTTAAATCTATATTATCTGTAGCCTCAATTATTTGATTCTACATGTTTTGTACATACTTTTTTTCTATCAATAATTCACACTTGTTCGTTTTAATCCCTGTTCTATTAATAACCGTTACTTTTTTCCACGTTTATTTGCCACATAACAAATACCACCTCACTGTTATAATGTCATCTACTTTAGATTCCTTTACTCCACTACCATTGTAATTTTTTATTGCATTAATATACATTTATATTATTTATATACATTACCTCAACAATTGTTACACCTTAACGTCCTTCCTAAGATTAATAATGCTATAACGTAATAAAAATTTATTGAAGAAATAGGTATATAATCGGCTTCTATATAAGATAGATAAAAGCTATCTAAATTGTAATCACTCGAAATGTATTGGACACTAATAGATAATCTCGATAACAGGATATGTATTATGGAACTTATACTAGCGTAAAAAGTGTGGGAGGAGTAACGAAAGGTTTTAGGGTAAGAGTAGGAGTGCACTAGGATTCTATTTTAAGTCCTAAATTATTTTCTATAGTGATGGATGAAATTACTAGAGAAATACATGGAATGGTGCCGTGTGCATGTTGCTGACGATGTAGTGTTGTTAATAGGATAAAATAGGGGGGAAATTAATCAAAGTCTAGAAGTGTGGAGATCAGCTCTTGAAGAATAGGGTTTCAGAGTAAGTAGGAGTAAGACAAATTATATAGAGTACGATTTTGACAAAGGAGAACACGAGGTAGGTGAAATAAGGTGGTCAGAGACAATAGGCGAGAACATGATTGGAGAGGTGGAAAATTTCAAGTATTTAGGATTAGTTGTGCAAAAGAGCGGTGGTATTGACGAGGATGAAAGACACAGGATAAAGTATGGGTGTTGAAGTGGAGAGAAGCGTCTCGATTTTATTTCTTATATGCGATAAAAGAATTCCAATGAGGCTGAAAGGTAAATTGAACAAGACTGTAGTGAGGCAAGCTATGATGTATGGTTCAGAGTGTTGGGCGGTTGATAAGAAAGTAGAGCAGAAAATGAGTGTAGCAGAGATGAGAATGCTTCGATGGACGAGTGAAGTGACTAGAGAAGATAGGATAAAAAATGAGCATATAAGAGAGAGTATAGGTGTCAATCGTGGATAAAATGAGAGAAAATAGACTTAGATACTTTGGTCATGTTATGATAGAGAAGAATCGGAAGTCGTAAGAACAGTTGTAGAAATTAATGTTGATTGAAGTAGAGGTAAAGGAAAACCAAAAAAGTGATGGAGAGATGTTATTGAATTCGATATAAGGACAGCTGATGTGAGCGTAGATGAAGTGGGATATCGTGTCAAGTGGATGTTTAGGATAAGGGCGGCCGATCCCAAGTAACTGGGATTAAGGCGAAGAAAAGAAGGTAATATCAAATCAGCCGTGTTATAATCTCCACCTTTTATTTATTATAACTTATATTGAAAACGGGACAAAAATATTGCCCATCTTTGAAATCTAGCTGTTATCATTGTTGGTATGCATTTATTTTCCCCTAGAATTCCTAATAAGGGAAAATGATCGGTTTTAATAATAAAGTTCTGATTTTGTAAATATTGAAACATTTCCGTTTACACCAGTAAACTGTTAATGCCTCTTTATCCGCCACAAGTTTTTTTTTCGTTAGCATTAAGGTTCTAAAAATAAAAATAATGGCCTCTCACTACCATCTTTCATCACATGAGATAAACAACTTGCAATACCTTCATTTGAAGCATCCTTTTTGAAAACAATTAGTAATTCCTGATTAAAATGAATCAATACCTTGTTAGATAATATTAAACTTTTAATTTTATCAAATGCCTGCTGACATTCATTTGAACACTTAAACCGTTTTTTTCGAACAATTCATCAATAGGTTTCATTACAATTAAATCATTTGGTAAAAACCTGGAAT